AGGACTGTTTTGAAAACCAATGATTATAGAAAGGATTGCTGCACTTTTTAAAAGGAAGCAGCAGGGAGGTGAGTTGCAGAGGGGCTATCACCAAGTGTTACGTGCAAAGTAAAATTCAGCCAGCAACAAATAGCTGACTGGTCTGGGAATGACTGCCAGTTCTCAATGGCAAAAGCCTCAGCCTGCCAACAATTATGTGGTTGCCTCCTGGGTAGCTGAACAGCTTGAAACTGAAAGTAATATTGGCTGAAGCCTTCAGACCTCCAAAAGGGGAAGCAGAATGTGTCTCTGGAGTAGAAAATACCTGAAGAAAGCCAGTACTTTTTTTCTTACCAGTTGCTTTCAACCAATAAGTCAGAACCTTTATAATTTATGAATCTCTTGACTGCACATCTTATGAGGATGCGAAAAGAACCAGGTGAAGAGAGACAGTCTTGGCAAATGAAAGGATCATCTTAACAAAACCCCAGTCAACAGAGGACATCAAGTTGCTTCCTAAATATTTCCCCCCTTTCCTCCCCACCAATTTTCTTTTGTCAGTGTGCACGTGTAAGGAGAGGGTTAGTTAGAGTCACAGACGTACAGCATGGAAGCAGACCCTTCAGTCCAACTCGTCCATAACGACCAGATATCCTAAATTAGTCCCGTTTGCCAGTATTTGGCCCATATCCCTCTAAACTCTTCCTATTCATGTACACATTCACATGCCTTTTGAATGCTGTAATTGTACCAGCCTCCACCACTTCCTCTGTCAGCTCATTCCATACATGCACCACCCTCTGCAGGAAAAAGTTGCCCCTTAGGTCCCTGTTAAATCCTTCCCCTCTCACCTTAAACCTATGCCCTCTAGTTTTGGATTCCCCCACCCTGGGGAAAAGACCTTGTCTATTTACCCTATCCATCCCCTTCATGATTTTATAAACCTCTATAAGGTCACCCCTCAGCCTCCGACGCTCCAGGGAAAATAGCCCCAGTCTATTCAGCCTCTCCCTATAGCTCAAACGCTCCACCCTTGGCAACATCCTTACAAATCTTTTCTGAACCCTTTCAAGCTTATAGTTATATGCTAACAGTTTATAGTTTGTGTAGCTAGAATCTGTGTAACAAATAGAAATTCTTGTAAAGTACAGAAACTTGGTCCATGCTTTCTGCTTGCCTGGTCTAAGCTGACAATTGGGAGATTTTTAGTACTTTGATAACATCTTTACTGTGATAACTCAAGTGGGGCTTAATTTCCAGTACGTGACTCCAGTGAGGTACAACAAACTGGGCGCTTGTTTCTGATTTATGAATTACTTATTTTCTTAATTGTATTTTCAGTTAATTTATTGGTAAGGCCACATTAGATTGTCTTGCTGCTTTCAGGTAGGTAAAACTACAGGCAGTGATTCTTTTCTGACTACCATCATCTACAAAGCACAATTCAGGAGTGTGATGGAATACAGTTCCCACCACTTCAAGTATCAGGTATGAATCAGGTAGTCACCTAAACCAGTCTTTTTTTAAAAAAAAAAAAGCATATGAATATCCATTAATGTCAGTTTCAAGATGCCTGTGACAGCAACTCAACTGCTCTGTTTATTTCAAGCAAAAACATCTGTGCTTCCTCAGTCTTGATCCCTGTGGTCCAGAGAAACTGAGCAGAATGTATGATGTTTTCTAATTACTGGCATGAGCTTGACCAAGGACCCTGAGCTCCACAAAGTCTATAACATCAGTTAAATCCATTAATCAGATAGCTGATTGAGGAAAAACAAGGACAGCATTTACCTGGATATATATCACTATTCCTTCAATATATTTGCATGAATGCACCGCTAGTAATTGGCACTGACTCATTTTCTCACAAAGCTTTACACCTTGTAATGTTTTACTTACCTGCAGCCTCACATAAAGTTTCATGTTGCCCCAGTTGGTATTATGTGGATTTTTCTTCAGTATGTACTTGAGTATAGGGGTTCGCTTGTCCAAGTCACAGTCTTTAAGCAGAAATTCCTGCTTTGCATCTGTTCGGGTAATTAGTTTGTGTTTCTCTTCATTATCTCTGCAATAAAGCAAGAAGTGGTGACCAAAGTTTCCACTGCTAATGAGAATCTTTAAATTATATACCCGTGTTAACTGATCAGACTAGACTACAGAAAGAAATGTCAGTAAAAGAAAGCTATGAATAAAGGTAGATATTTGAATAACTGTGCAAATCACATTTTTAATCAGCTGTAAAATTTCCTGTTTGGTTGTGTAGCACATGCAGCAGCACAAGACAGTTAAAACACAATGATGCAAATTTTATTTGGCTGTTATACATCAGTCAAGAATGCAGAGATAGTAGGAACTGGAGAATCTGAGATAACAAGGTGTAAAGCTGGATGAACACAGCAGGCCAAGCAGCATCAGAGGAGCAGGAAGGCTGACGTTCCGGACCTAGACCCTTCTTCAGAAATGGCCTTGTTATCTCAGATTCTGCAGCATCGGCAGTTCCTACTATCTCTGACCAGAAAGAAGTTGAGATTAGATTTTGGAACTTCCACCAGAGGGAGCAGTTGAGGCAAATGGCGTAGATAAAGAGGAATATGTTACGTTGATCGGGTTGGAAGAGGAGAGGTGGACGGAATCTCATTTGGACTACAAACCTTATAGTGGAACAGTTGGCAAAAGGCCCTGCCTGTGTGCTGTACATATTAGGTAAAAACAAATGCATTCTTGACTAGG